CACAACACACACACACACACACACACACACACACACACACACACACATCCGCCGTTGTGGGCCCCCCGCGAGGCGGCGGGAGGGCGGCGGGCGGGAGGCCGCGGAAGCAGGTCGAGGGCGCCCCCCCTTGGCGGAGGCCGGCGGAAGGCCGGCGCGGGAGCGGGGGGAGTGCACGAGGCCGCACCCCCCACGGGAGGCGCCGAGGGCACGCTGGCTCGCCGATGCCAGAGACAAAAAACCCCCTGGAAAAACCGTGGGAAGTGCGGGGGGGGGGGAGGACGAGCACCCAGAGCACGTGGGAACACATTGGGGAGTCCTGGGAGGAGGAGCCCGTTTTCCACCACCACCACCCACAAGATGGAGGGGGGAAGGAGGAGGAGGAGGGCGAGGAGGAGGAGGAGGACTAAGAGTAGGAGGAGGAGGAGGAGGAGGTAGGAGGAAGGAGGAGGAGGAGGAGGAGGAGGACCCCCCCCTCCAACTTATGGTGGTGGTGGTGGAAAGCACGCCCATCACTGGGAGCGACCAGCGCCGCGCCCCGCCCGCCCGGCGACCCGCTTCGCGCCCCCGTCACTCTTGTCTTCGCTGCTCGTTCTGGGGACCTTCCTGGGGCCCACCTGACAGATCGGCTCCGCTCCAGTTCGACCCCAAATCGACTCAAGCTCGACTCGAGTTCGACTTACGTTCGACTCAGGTTCGACTCAGGTTCGACTCAAGGTCGGCTCAAATAGACGGACGTTCGACGCAGCTTCGACACGAGTGGAGCGACGAGTGTCTCCAGGAAGGTCAACAGAATAAGCATACAACTTATCCGCAACTGCGGAGGGATAGGTATTTGTTATCATCCTGACGTTCTTTGACAGAATTCGGCCTCTGGGGCCAGGGGCGCTCAGAAATGGACCTAGGGCGAAGAGTTGCCCTGGCCGAGGCCTCTGGAGATCGAGCTTCGAGGATCGAGGAAGCTCGAAGTTTGATAGGTTCTTGCACGTTTCTCGCTCTTTCTTGGCCTCCTGGTGGCGCCCTCGCTGCCACGACGGGACTCCACTTTTCAGTGGAGGCCCTTTCCGAGACCCTCTGCTATCTGGAAGCCGAGAGCACACACATACACACACACATGTGTGTGTGTGTGTGCGCGTGTGTGTGTGTGTGTGTGTGTGTGTGTGTTCCCGGCTTCCAGATACCAGTGGGTTGCTCTCGGCCATACCTCCGAAAGTGTGTGCAAACAATCTCGGATCTCAGAAAGCGTGCGGGCACACTTTGGGGGATCTCCGCGCAGACTTCTCGGTCTGGTGCTGGGCCACCCCACCCGCCCCCCCAGCAAGGAAGGTGGTCCGTGGCACTGCCCATCCTGGAAGTCCGCGCGGGCCCTCCTCCTCCTCTTCCTCCTCCTCCTCCTGCTCCTCCTCCCCCTCTTCCTCCTCCTCCTCCTCCTCCTCTTGCTGCTACTCCTCCTCCTCCTCCTCCTCCTCCTCCTCCTCCTCTCTCCTCCCCCCCCTCCTCCCCTCCTCCTCCTCCTCCTCCTCCTCCTGCTCTTGCTGCTGCTCCTCCTTCTCCTCCTCCTCCTCCTCCTACTCTTCCTGCCCATCCTCCTCCTCCTCCTCCTCCTCCTCCTCTTTCTTCTCCTCCTCCTCCTGCGTACCCAGAGCCCCAGCGTCATGATTTTTTGATGACGTCGGCCCCCAGTGTTCTCGACCCATTCCCTGGGAACGGCTTCTCAGCCTGAGCAGTTTCTTGACGGCCCCGGGGCCCGGTGAGGGTCCCCAGAGACCGAAGACGGCGAAACAGTTCGCGCCGTGATTTTTGTTCCCGACCCTCCTGCGTCGGGTTCCCGTTTTGAATAGAGCGCTGCGGTCGCACGCGTCCCGCTTCTCCTTCCCCTCGTCCTGCCTCCTCCTGGGCTGCTCGCTGGAAGGCTGCGGACTGCGCAACTGTCGCCATTCTCGTGGGCTCCTGGAAGGCATGACGGAGTCGGGCAGCACGCGAGACCTCGCATCTCCCTGGGTGGCTGCGAACTGCGCAGCTGTCGCCACTTTCGCGGGCTCCTGGGAGGCACTGCAGCGTAGGTGAGTACCCGAGACCTCGAGCTCCCTGGGTGGCTGCGATCTTCGAAGCTGGCCTCATTTAGTGGGCTCCTGGGAGGCACGGCGGAGTAGGGCAGTACGCGAGACCTCGCATCTCCTTGGGTGGCTGCGAACTGCGCATGTGTCGCCACTCTCGTGTGCTTCTGGGAGGCGCGGCGGAGTAGGTGAGTACCCGAGACCTCGAGCTCCCTGGGTGGCTGCGATCTTCGAAGTTTGCCCCACTTTCGTTGGCTCATGGGAGGCACGGCGGAGTAGGGCAGTACGCGAGACCTCGCATCTCCCTGTGTGGCTGCCAACTGCGCATCTGTCGCCACTTTCGTGCGCTCCTAGGAGACACTGCGGAGTAGGGGAGTACCCGAGACCTCGAGCTCCCTGGGTAGCTGCGAACTGCCCATCCGTCGCAATTTTTGTGGGCTTCTGGGAGGCACGGCGGAGTAGGGCAGTACGCGAGACCTCGCAGCTCCCTAGGTGGCTGCGACCTGCGAAGTTGGCTCACTGTCGTGCGCTCCTAGGAAGCACGGCGGAGCATTCTCAGTACCTCAATAGTTTTGGGCCCCTGGACTAGAGGGGCCCCCCAGACTACAATGCCCCCCCCCCCCAGACTACAAGGGCGGCCCTCCCCCCGGACTACTACAGGGCCCCATCCCCAGACTATAAGGGCCCCCCCCCGACTACAGGGACCCCTCCCCCCCGGACTACAGGCCCCCCCCCGAACTACAAGGGCGCCCCCCCTCCCAGACTTTTGGCCACCCCAAAGTTATTGAGGCACTCAGAATATGTGAGCACCCGAGACCTAGGAGTCCCCTCGGTGGCTGCGAGCTGCGCAACTGTCGCCACGGTTGTGGGCTCCTGGGAGGCACGGCGGAGTCGGGGAGTACCCGAGACCTCGCAGCACCTTGGGTAGCTGCGAACTGCGCAGCTGTCGCCACTTTCGTGGGCTCCTGGGAGGCACGGCGGAGTAGCGGAGTAATCGGACCCAGGCGGGACCTTGCAGTTTCTTGGTTGGCTGCGAACGTGCAACCGTCGCCATTTTTGTTGGCTCCTGGGAGGCACGGCAGAGTAGGGGAGTACCTGAGACCTCGAGCTTCCTGGGTGGCTGCGATCTTCGAAGCTGGCCCCACTTTCGTGGGCTCCTGGGAGGCACGGCGGAGCAGCGGAGTACGCGAGACCTCGCAGCTACCTGGGTAGCTGCGAACTGCGCATTTGTCGCCACTCTCGTGTGCTTCCGGGAGGTACGGTGGAGTAGGAGTACGCGGACCCGGCCGAGACCTCGCATCTCCCTTGGGGGCCGCGAATTGCGCAGCACTTTCGTGGGTTCCTGGGAGGCCCAGCAGAGTAGGGCAGTACGCGGCACCAGCCGAGACCTTGCATCTTTCTGGGGGGCTGCGAACTGCGCATCTGTCGCCACTTTCATGGGCTCCTGGGAGGTCCAGCGGAGTCGGGGGCCACTCGGATCTAGCCGAGACCTCGCGGCTCCAAGAAGGGTATGAACTGCGCAGCTGTCGTCGTTTTCGTGGGCTCCTGGGAGGCACGGCGGAGATGAGGGCAACGCTGATCGTGCATATCTGGCGTGTTCTTGTGTATTGAGCGTTCATGCGCATGTTCGCCTCGCGTGGCGGAGGGGTTGGGTACGTCACGGGTAATTTCAGGACTCGAGGGTACTTGGGGGTCCAAGATCGGCAAGGCTCAGAGGGGGGTGTGCTTATGAGGCGCGGGCCTTGATCTACCGGGGAAAGGCCGGCGCCTTCTAAGCAGCAGGCTCTTTCTGAGAAGCCTCCACCTGCCCTTGCCCCCCTGCGTCCGCGCCGCCACAGTCGAGCGACGGAAGAGAACGGGGCAGGTCTTCGCCGCCGTGAGCGCGTGAGCTGCCCGCGACAGGTCGCGCGCTCGGCGCCCTCGCTCCCACTGCGTGTCGCGTCTGTGCGGACGGCCCGCTGACGCACCCCGCCTCGGCTCCCGCCGCCGCCCTCGGCCGCCCGAGTGGACGCTGGACCCCCTCGGCGTCGTCGTCGTCGTCGTCGTCGTCGTCGTCGTCGTCGTCGTCGTCGTCGCCCTCGTCGCCCTCGTCGTCGTCGTCGTCGCCCTCGTCGTCGTCGTCGTCGTCGTCGTCGTCGTCGTCGTCGTCGTCGTCGTCGTCGTCGTCGTCGTCGTCGTCGTCGACACGAGGCGACCCCCGAGGTGGGCCGCGGCCGCCGCGCCCGCCCTCGGCGCCCCCGCCGCCCTCGGCCGCGCGCCGCCGGGCCGGGGCGGGCCTGCGCGGCAGTGGCCGGCCGGGCACAGCGCCGGCGCCTCGGCGGCGCCTGTTCTCCGACGCCGCCGCGCCGCCGCAGGACCCTCCCCCTCCCCCTCCCCCCCCTCCCCCTCCCCCTCCCCCTCCTCCCCTCCCCCTCCCCCTCCTCTCCTCCTCCTCCTCTCCTCCTCCTCCTCCTCCTCCTCCTCCTCCTCCTCCTCCTTCCTCCCCTCCTCAGGCCCTGGCTCTCTCGAGCGGCGACCAAAAATCAGGGCGTTGTTTTTCTTGGTTGTGCTGCTTTCGGCCTCTGGGGGCCCTCCCCCGGGCCTCGGGGTGGTCAGGAAGCGGCTCCTGAGAGCACCGGTCCTGGGGTAATGGGTCGAGACCTCTGGGGGTCGACGTCATGAAACAATCATGACGTCGGGGGTCTGGGTACGCAGGAGGAGGAGGAGGAGGAGGAGGAAGGAGGAGGGGAGGAGGAGGAGAGAGGGAGGAGAGAGGAGGAGGAGGAGGAGGAGTAGGGAAGGGAAGAGGAGGAGGAGGAGGAGGAGGAGGAGAGGAGGAGGAGGAGGAGGGAGGAGGAGGAGGAGAGAGGAGGAGGGGAGGAGGAGAGGAGGAGGAGGGAGGAGGGAGGGAGGAGGAGGAGGAGGGGGAGGAGGAGGAGGGAGGAGGAGAGGAGGAGGAGGAGGAGGAAGAGGGAGGAGGAGGAGGAGGAGGAGGAGGAGCGGCAGCGTCGGCGGCGGAGGCAGCAGGGAGCCGGGGCATGGCGAGGGGGGAGGATTGGCAGCAGCAGGGGCAGCAACAGCCAGCACGGCAAGGCTGTAATGCTCGAGGGCCTCGTCGGCAATCCTGGGCGCTATAGACGAGCTAGGCTCGCTCAAAGTGGGGGGGGGTACTGATATAGGATATAGGTACGGCCAGAATGGGTACAACGTCCAACAGCAGTTCCTGGTCTTTCAGAACAGGTTTTGCTGTTGGCGTCGCCGCGGAGGCTGTCCGTTTGCGACACAGACTCGCTGGCCCAACAGCGGCTGCTGTCGGTTCGGGGCGACCCGAGCTGTTGGGCATCCTTTTTTTCCGTAACCATGTCGCGCGTCCACCTTCCAGGATCGCCCGCCAGAGTCTCATTCCACTAACCATGTCGGGCGTCCGCATTCCAGGTTTGGCTGCACGTAAGAGTGACCCTTCGTCAGAGTGACCTTGGGTGCGCGGCTCCGTCGGGGGGGCGCATGCGGGGCCAAGCGCAAGCATGCAGGCCGCCACCGCCGCACCGCACCCGAAGCGGCCGGCAAGCCGCGCACCAAAGGGCATTCTTGCCCAGGGTCGCTCTCACGTGCAGCCGAGAGGTCATCGACCGTCGGGCGGTCGCCCAATGGGCGCTGTCGAAGTTGAAGGTTCTGCGTTCGCACGTGGGCGCTGGCCGAAATCTCGGTCGATCCAACTCTCAGGGAGACAGTTGTCGGGTTGGGAGGATGTGGTTGGGATAGAACTAAGGATATCATGAGCCGTAGGTGTGCGAAGGGATCGTTCATGGCATCCCGATGCTATTGCTCATACCTTTTCTTCTCCCAACCCTGAGGAGGAGGAGGAGGAGAAGGAGGAGGAGGGGGAGGACAAGAAGGAGGAGGAGAACCAGTGCAAACCCAAGAGTCATCAACAATGTTGGAATTAACCCTCCCTCCAAGCTTCCTCTTCATAAGCCCCTACAGCGGTTCATTTCCATTGAGATAACTGATCCGTTGGAAGACAACCGTTTGAAGACCTTGAAGCATGCCGAAACATTGGTCTCTGGATTTCCGCGCCACGGATCCACCTGACTGCTGCGTCCTGACGATGTGGAATCGTGCCAGAACGCCATCGTCGGGACTTCAACACCGCGAATCAACATAAGTGTTGCACCCGCAAAATCCTGAATCTTTCCAACACATCATGTCTGGCACGCTGATCATGGGAATCCGTGAAACTCCTTGCAAAGTTTTAAAACGACGGTGCAAGGCGCTGAGGCGAGAGCCACATTTTGAAACGGAACCGCCCTCAATCCGTGAAACTCTTTTGCATTTTTTAGAACGAATGTGCACGGCGCTGAGGCGAGAGCTACATTTTTGAAAAATTGCCGCCCTCAATCCGTGAAGTTCTTGCGAAGTTTTAATGAGAATGTGCGCGGCGCTAAGGCGAGAGCTACATTTTGAAAACCACCCGCCCTCAATCCGTGAAGCTTTTGGTTTTTTACTACGAATGTGCGCGGCGCTGAGGCGAGAGCCACATGTTGAAAACCACCCGCCCTCAATCCGTGAAGCTTTCGCGTTGTTCTGCAACGAATGTGCGCGGCGCTGAGGCGAGAGCCACATGTTGAACACCACCCGCCCTCAATCCGTGAAGCTCTTGCAATTTGTGTTTAAAGGATCTGCGCGGCGCTAAGGCGGGAGCCACATTTTGAACACGACCCGCCCTCCATCTGTAACATTGCTGCCACTTCTCAAGCTCCAGAACCATAAGTGGTGAGGAAGTCTTGGGCGGAGTGCCCGGCCCGCCCTAACAGTTGGCCTCGGGGTGCGACAGGAAGATGTCATTTAGAAGGAAATGGAGTGAGGAGGAGGAGGAGGAGGAGGAGGAGGAGGCGGAGGCGGAGGAGGAGGAGGAGGAGGCGGCGGAGGAGGAGGAGGCGGAGGAGGAGGAGGAGGAGGAGGAGGAGCAGCCTCCCAGCATTCTAGCATGCTTCTCCTCGAACCTCGAGCCTGGGGCGCTGCCGCGGTCGGCGCGCTCCTGGGGGGGAGGGCGCGCCGATCGTCGGCCCGGTCGGGGGCCCCCCCCGCGGGAGAGCCCGCGGCACACCCCGGCGTTCTCCCCGCGCGCGCCCTCGCCCAACGACTCGAGGGGAGGAAGAGGCGCACACACGGAGGCACAGACGCCTCGCCGACGCCCAGGAGAAAACGTATGGGAAGATGTGGGGCGTGGGGGGTGAGACGAAACCGAGAGCATGTGGAACGGTGGGACTTGTGTGTATGTGTTTTGTTGTTGTTATGGTTGTTGCTGTTGTTGTTGTTGTTATTATTGTTGTTGTTGTTGTTATTGTTGTTGTTCTTGTCGTGATGGTGGTGTTGGTTGTGGTTGTTGTTATTGTTGTAGTTGTTGTTGTTGTTGTTGTTGTTGTTGTTTGTGTTGTTGTTTGTGTTGTTGTTATTGTTGTTGTTGTTGTTGGTGTTGTTGTTGTTGTTGTTGCTGTTGTTGTTGTGTGTGTTGCTGTTGTTGTTGTTGGTGTTGTTGTTGTAATTGTTGTTGGTGTTGCTGTTGTTGTTGTTGCTGTTGATGTTGTTGTTGTTGTTGTTGAACATTATTAATTCTAAAGAATAATTATTGTTGGGACCCCTGGTGCACGGCCCCCCCGCCGCGCCTAGGCCGCAGCTACATTTTCATCATTTTTTCGCGAAAGCTTCAGAAAAGTGGATGGGGTCCAGATCCGGTTGTTTTGTTGTAATCCGTTTTCCCTTGCAAAAAACACTATAAAATGACATTTCTTGTTCTAATATAATCAAATTTCAAGAATCCCTTGTAAAAAATAAGGTAAAGTGGACATTCGCGCGCGCAAGACGAAATCCTTCCAAAAGCTTAGTGTTCGGAACGATTTTAACATAAAAACATCAAAAAACCAATGGTTTTTCAACAAAAAAATGTCAAAATCTCATCCCGCGCGCTCTTGCGGATTCGTAGGAAACCCAACACTTTTTAAACATTTCTGTCAAACGGGCTTTTGCGAGCAACTTTTTCGAACTTCTGCGACAACGGTTGCGCACCTGCCAGGGCCATCATCCCTGTCAAATAATACCATGCGGGACACATTCGTTTTTTGCGCGCGCACGCCGAAATCTCCAAAAACCATTGGGTTCTTAAGAATTTTAGCACCGCGCATCATAAAATCACACGAATCGCACCGTAGGTCCTCGAAAAACACCTGCACGACTTTTCAAAAACTCCTCGAAAACTCCTCTCTCTCTGTCTCTCTCTCTTTGTCTCTCTCTCTCCCGCTCTCTTCCTCTGTCTCGCCTTCTCTCTCTCAGTGTCTGTACCATGTCTAGCACTGGTAACAAAGGTATTTGTGTATCCCCACATCCGCCCAGGAATTCCACAAATGTGACCAACTATCTTGCGAGTACGTATCATCTCATGTGTGTCGTGCACACTATCAAATGTAACAGAGTTGTGTATTCCCATCATCCCAGGAACTTGACCCAAAAATGTGACCAACTCCGCTCTCTCTGTCTCTCTCTCTGTCTGCTCTCTGTCTCTCTCTCTGTCTCTCTGTATTATGTATTGTATGGCACAATTGCACCATGCTGGGCACATGCGCGCCCCGAATAAGTGACCAAGTTCTGTGGGTGTGTACCCCACGCCAGTGTAGTAGCCACGGTCGTCCGCACGCCACGAAGTGAAGTGTCCCAACGTCATAGGGCGGGAAGCTGGGTTTGGGTGGTCGCGAAGAGTCGTTTGGATATTTGGTAGAGCTTGTAATGCCCCCCCACGAAGTGGGGGTATTGCCTGGTGTCGTATGAAAACCCTGGCACTGGGGAGAACACCACGCGTTCGGGTAAAATGATTGTTGTTGTTGTTGTTGTTGTTGTTGTTGAACATTATTACTTCTAAAGAATAATTATTGTTGGGGCCCCTGGTGCACGACCCCCTCGCCGCGCCTAGGCCGCAGCCACATTTTCATCATTTTCGTGAGGAAGTCTCAGGCAAAACGGGGTATACCAGATCCGGTTGTTTTGTTGACGCCCGCTTTCCCTTGCAAAAAACACTATAAAATGAAATCTCTTGTTCTAACATAACCAAACTTCAAGAATCCTTTGCAACAAAGGACACGAAGTGCACACTCGCGCGCGCAAGATGAAATCCTTCCCAAACCTTAGTTTTCGTAGCGATTTTAACATAAAAACATGAAAAACCCAATGGTTTTTCAAAAAAAAGTTTCAAACATTCATCTTGCGCGCTCTTGCGGATTTCTGAGGAAACCCAATATTTTTTCAACATTTCTGTCAAACGGGCTCTTGCGAGCAACTTTTTCACGTGCTTCGAACTTCTGCAACAACGGTTGCGCACCTGCCAGGGCCATCATCCCTGTCAAATAATACCATGCGGGACACATTCGTTTTTTCTTCGCGCGCGCACGCCGTCGTCGTCGGCCGCGGGGCCCTGAATAGTAGCCACGGTCGTCCGCATGCCACGAAGTGAAGTGTCCGAACGTCATAGGGCGGGAAGCTGGGTGTGGGTGGTGGCGAAGAGTCGTTTGGAAATTTGGTAGAGCTTGAACCGGCCCCCCCACAAAGTGGGGGTATTGCCCGCCTCCTATGAAAACCCTGGCACTGGTGAGAACGGAGTGTCCCCACGTCTAGTAATTGTTGTTGTTGTTGTTGAACATTATTAATTCTAAAGAATAATTATTGTTGGGGCCCCTGGTGCACGGCCCCCCCGCCGCGCCTAGGCCGCAGCTACATTTTCATCATTTTTTCGCGAAAGCTTCAGAAAAGTGGATGGGGTCCAGATCCGGTTGTTTTGTTGTAATCCGTTTTCCCTTGCAAAAAACACTATAGAATGACATTTCTTGTTCTAATATAATCAATTTTCAAGAATCCCTTGCAAAAAATAAGGTAAAGTGGACATTCGCGCGCGCAAGACGAAATCCTTCCAAAAGCTTAGTGTTCGGAGCGATTTTAACATAAAAACATCAAAAAACCAATGGTTTTTCAACAAAAAAATGTCAAAATCTCATCCCGCGCGCTCTTGCGGATTCGTAGGAAACCCAACACTTTTTAAACATTTCTGTCAAACGGGCTTTTGCGAGCAACTTTTTCGAACTTCTGCGACAACGGTTGCGCACCTGCCAGGGCCATCATCCCTGTCAAATAATACCATGCGGGACACATTCGTTTTTTCTTCGCGCGCGCACGCCGTCGTCGTCGGCCGCGGGGCCCTGAATAGTAGCCACGGTCGTCCGCATGCCACGAAGTGAAGTGTCCGAACGTCATAGGGCGGGAAGCTGGGTGTGGGTGGTGGCGAAGAGTCGTTTGGAAATTTGGTAGAGCTTGAACCGGCCCCCCCACAAAGTGGGGGTATTGCCCGCCTCCTATGAAAACCCTGGCACTGGTGAGAACGGAGTGTCCCCACGTGCTAGTAATTGTTGTTGTTGTTGTTGTTGTTGTTGTTGTTGTTGTTGTTGTTGTTGTTGTTGTTGTTGTTGTTGTTGTTATTGTTGCCGTTGTTGTTGTTGCTGTTGCTGCTGTTGTTGTTGTTGTTGTTGTTGCTGCTGCTGCTGCTGCTGCTGCTGTTGTTGTTGTTGTTGTTGTTGTTGTTGTTGTTGTTGTTGTTGTTGTTGTGTGTGTGTGTGTGTGTCCCTGGGCCCCTTCAACAACGCCGACGTTGAGAATCTATGTCCGCGCGCACACGCAGTACTTTGCGGAGCTCGGTGCCCTGGCGCGAACGGACAGACGACCCGTGTTCCAAGACACCCTGCTGACACGGTCGGCGGCCTCAAAGGCTGCTCAACGACGTCGGAGAGCAGGTCCTGCTGGCCGGGAGTGCCGCGGAGCCTCGAAGATGCCTGATTCAATCCCAGTGCTTTTCCTGAGCAAGCGCGCCAACATAACAGCAAGGGAGAAGAGGCGGGTCGAGGAGGAGGAGGAGGAGGAGGAGGAGGAGGAGGAGATCGGCGCATAGGGACTCTCAGGAAACGCACGGCCTTGTGCGCCCGAGTGTCTCTTACAACGGATCGTGGCCGCCTGGGCACAAAGTGTAGCCAGCATTGAGGCGAGACCGCGATTCCCGAACCCACTGCGGGGACGTCTCAAGCGTAACGGCAGCCGGCTGCCAGACCGGTGGTCTAGGGCTCCCCGTCTCCCCTGTGGAACTCCTTCGGTGGTCCTTGTTGTATGCAGCTGTTTAAATTCTCTGGCGAAGCGCTGTCGGGGAAAAGGTGGCCCCACGGTTCAGTCGGGCATGTCCTTCTACAAGAGGAATATCCGAAAATTGCCAAACATTACCCTGGCGACATACCCAACCCATGCTTAATGCGGGGCATGAGTAGCTTGGAAGATTTGACGAGAAGGCGTCGACGTGACATGGACGCATATACTTCTGCGAGCGGCATTCGGAAGGTTCGCAGGCCCCCAATCAAGGGAAATACGGTGAATAACTAAGTGAACCCCTGAGTCACTAAGAAAGACGTAAGGTCCAAAAGGAGACGTTGGGCAAGGTGCTTGAAACGTCGGCGGGGCAGCAACAGCATGACATGGACCCCCAAGGACGGCGAGGCCCCGCTCAGGTCCGCGCAGTGCCTCACTCCGATGGACCCACCAGCAGCGTTCGAAAGTGGCGAGCCCACCAGCAGCCCTCGAAAGTGGCGACAATTTCGCAGATCGCAGCCGCCCAGGGACGGGGAGGTCCCGCTCAGGTCCGCGCGGTGCCTCACTCCGCTGGACCCACCAGCAGTCTGCGAAAGTGGCGACAATTTCGCAGGTCGCAGCCCCCCAGGGACGGGGAGGTGCCGCTCAGGTCCGCGCGGTGCCTCACTCCGCTGGACCCACCAGCAGCCGTCGAAAGTGGCGACAATTTCGCAGATCGCAGCCCCCCAGGGACGGGGAGGTGCCGCTCAGGTCCGCGCAGTGCCGCACTCCGCTGGACCCACCAGCAGCGTTCGAAAGTGGCGACAATTTCGCAGATCGCAGCCGCACAGGGACGGAGAGGTCCCGCTCAGGTCCGCGCGGTGCCCCACTCCGCTGGACCCACCAGCAGCCGTCGAAAGTGGCGACAATTTCGCAGATCGCAGCCCCCACAGGGACGGGGAGGTGCCGCTCAGGTCCGCGCGGTGCCTCACTCCGCTGGACCCACCAGCAGCCGTCGAAAGTGGCGACAATTTCGCAGATCGCAGCCCCCCAGGGACGGGGAGGTGTCGCTCAGGTCCGCGCGGTGCCTCACTCCACTGGACCCACCAGCAGCCATCGAAATTGGCGACAATTTCGCAGATTGCAGCCCCCCAGGGACGGGGAGGTCCCGCTCAGGTCCGCGCGGTGCCTCACTCCGCTGGACCCACCAGCAGTCCTCGAAAGTGGCGACAGTTTCGCAGATCGCAGCTTCCGCCCAGGGACGGCGATGTCTCGCGGGAGACACGAGGCGGGAGGCAGGAGGCGGGAGGCGGGAGGAGAAGGACGCGACCGCAGTGCTCTATTCCAAACGAATACCCAACCAAGGAGGGTTGAGACATAGTCTGGGGACGATTCTTCGTCTATTTTTGATGTTTGATCATTTTGGATTTTCGTCCAAAATCCGCCTGTAGGAGAACATGCCCGACCTAACCCTACTGCTACCCTTTCCTGGTCTTCACCTCTCTGGGCCTCCCAGGAGGCCCTCGCCGCCGCGGGCCTGGATGCGACTCGACAGTCTGGCTGGTGTTTTACCCTGGGCTGCTCTGCGTCTAGGGCGGCAAAGAGGGGGTGATGACTGGGGGGGATATCACGGCGAGGGCACTGATAGGCGGCACCGTTCAATTCGTTGGGTCTCTGTGGCGTGTGATGGGTGGTCTGACCTCGCACGCAGCACCACTTACCTCTTAAGTCGTACTTCCATAGTCCCTTTAGCTCAGAGGTGGCTTCGTGCTCGCTTGACTCCACTTTCTATGCTGCGTCCTGCGTCCTCCTCCTCCTCCTCCTGCTGCTCCTCCTCCTCCTCCTCCTCCTCCTGCTCCTCCTTCTCCTCCTCCTCCTCCTCCTCCTCCAGACCGCGCCTCCGGGCACAGGTCCGGGGAGCAGCGTGTCTGGCTCCCCCAGCAGGAGCCTGGTCTCGCCGAGGCGATGAGCGCAGCGGAGGCGCCCGGGGAAGAGCAAGCACGGCAGTCTCAGAGCTCCTCCGCCTCCCCCTCCTCTCCTCTCCCCTCCTCCTCCTCCTCTCCTCCCCCCTCCTCCCCCTCCTCCTCCTCCTCTCCTCCTCCCTCCTCCTCCTCCTCCCCCCTCCTCCTCCTCCTCCCATCCTCCCCTCCTCCTCCTCCTCTCCTCCTCCTCCTCCCCCTCCCTCCTCCTCTTCCTCCTCCTCCTCCCTCCTCCTCCCTCCTCCTCCTTCCTCCTCCTGTCCCTCCTGCTCCTCCTCCTTTTTTTGTTCCTCCTCCTCCTCGTCCTCCTCCTCCTCTCCTCCTCCTCCTCCTCCCCCAACCTCCTCCTCCTCCTTCTCCTCCTTTTCCTCCCCAACCTCCTCCTCCCCCTCCTCCTCCTCCTCCTCCTCCTTTTCCTCCGCCTCGGCGCTCGGCTTCCCTGGCGGCGCCTCCTTCGCTGCCCTACCTGACGAACGAACAGCACACCCATACCCGCAAGGGGGGACGGAGGGGTCTGTGGGTGCGTGTTTTCGGATGGCGGCCCTCGCTCGAACGGGGGCCTCCCCGGGGGGTCCGACGACCCGCACTCTCCGACCCCCGCGTCGGTATGGGCGCGTGTCGTTCGTTCGTCATCCCCGGCACGCTCCGCGCGCTCGGGAGCGGGGCCGAACGGTCCGCTCGAAGCTCCGACGGTGTACGTCTGCGCCGCCTGCCCTCCCGTTGGAGGCGCCGAACGGTGCGCAGCTGCGGATGCTGTTCCTGGCCTCGGCCCTGCCCTTCGTGGGCTTCGGCTTCCTGGACAACTTCCTGATGATCCTCTGTGGCGAGGCGATCGACGTCAACCTCTGTGTGATCTTCAACTTCAGCACCATGGCGGCCGCTGCCATCGGGAACACGATCAGCGACGTGGCCGGGATCTTTTCTGGCGGCGCGGTGGAGAACCTGGCGCGGCACTTCGGCGTGGAGGAACCGCCAATGAGTAGCGAGCAGCGGCTCATGCGGGTCACGAAGGTGTGGCAGTACACGGGCCAGGTCCTGGGGATCGTCACCGGCTGCATCCTCGGCTGCTGCCCGTTGCTGTGGCTCGACCCGCACGAGGCCGAAAGGCTGAGGAAGGAGAAGGAGAAGAGCGAGATACTGCAGGCCGTCATCAACAAGGTCCTGGACATTGCGCAGGCCGAGGTCGTCGGGATGATGTTCCTGGACAAGGATCGAAGAAGAACAAATGCCACAAACAAGAGCTTCTGTCGCTCCGCGCTGATTTCCTGGATCCGCGCTGGGCACCCCCGGCGGCGCCTCTGTCGTCGCCCCTGACGCGCTCCGCGCGCCAGGGAGGGGGGTCCAGCGCAGATCCAAGAAATCCGCGCGGAGCGACAGTAGTTTATGCTGTGTTTCTTCTTCTGCAGGAGCAGGGCGACTTGAAGGTGACCCATGGCTCCGCGAACATGCCCAAGAACAGGCGGTGGAAGCTGGACGCCGGCTTCATAGGCCACGTGGCCACGACCGGCCAGTTCGTGAACATCGCGGACTTGCAGGAGGAGCTGCTCTACGACCCGGAGGAGCACGAGGATTTCCTGGGCACAGGGGTCAAGGTCCAGAGTGTCCTCTGCATGCCCATCTTCCAGGAGGGCAAAGTTCATGGGGTCCTCGTCGCCATCAACAAGCTGGGCGCCGCCGCGTTCAGCACCAAGGACGAGGACTTCCTGTCGGCGATATGCTCTCATGTGTCCGTGGCGGTGGGCGACACCAGGCTAGAGTTCGAGACGGTCATCGAAAACTGCGAGCGCGCGATGAACACCTCAGGCTCAGAGGAGGGCGAATTGAGGCAACGGTAGTTGGCCTTCGGGGGGGACCCTCGTCGCCACGGCTGGGCGCAACTCGTGCGGTGACCGTGTAGTATCAGGTGCGTTGGAGTCCTGGGGGGGGGGGTCTGGGATTATGATGCTCCAACCTACTTTAGCCTTGATCACTAGAAAGAGAATTTCGAGCGCCAAAAAAAGTACCGAAACTCAAGGGTTTTCACGTGTCGGGCCCTGGGAGACACTCGCCCGACACTGTTTCGGCACTGTTTTGACACTCCTTTGGCATTTCTTCGGGCGCTCGAAATAATTTCTGGGATGTGGTCCATAAGTAGGATGGGGACAACGTAAGTCTGGGACCTATTTTGGGCTTCCGTTGTCCCAGCTCACAGGCGCTCCAGAGTGGAGCACCTCCGGGTCGACGCAGCGCATGGCCAAGCTGTACCTCCCAGCCATGGAGGGCATCCGCAACGTGCTCAACGCGGAGGCCACGGCCCTGATGCTCCTCAACGCGAGGGAGGAGCTGCTCTACACGGAGGTGATCGACGGGCCCCTGCCGAGTCACACCACCCGGGTCGGCGAGGGCATCGCGGGCAAGGCCGTCGAGCTGGGGAAGACCCTCAACGTCGACGCCCGGGACATGCAGAGCTGGTTCGACGAGGGCCGCCACACGCACTACCAGGGCACCGACCTCCAGGTCAGGTCCGAGCTGGTGGTGCCCCTGATGGACACCTCGCGAAAATGCCTTGGCGCCATCAAGTGCATCAACAAGGAGGGCAGCTCCTACTTCAGCAAGAAGGACGTCGAGTTCGTCACAATGGCAGCCGAGCACATCGGCATGATGCTGGAGGGCCCAGACGCGGGACTCAGAAGGGTCCTGGCCCTGTCCCGCATGCGGATGCAGCAGCACGACGTCTTCATCGACGGGAGCGAAAACCGATGCGGGGTGATCTGCACCATCGAGCGGGCTCATGGCCTCCCCGTCCGCGCGGCGGGGCCGAAGTCGAAGAGCAAGGGCATCGATCCGTACGTGACACTAACCCTCCGCCGTGGGAACCCGCTAGAGGGACAGAAGGAGGGCCTTCACAAGAGGCTGTGGAGGGCCAGGAACTCGGACCGCAAGGCGCGCATCCGAAAGTTCGCGAAGTCCAATACGATCTTGCAGGACACGAGCCCGCAGTGGAACCAGACAATCGCTGTGGCAATGCCGCCGAAGCTGGACAACGTGCCCGTGGAGGAGCTGTACCTGCACGTCCTCCTCTGGGACTACGACACCCTGAAAGAGGACGAGCTGGTGGCGCAGGCCATCTTCCGCCTCCAGGATGTCCAGCAAGGCCAGGTCCAGCCGTATCCCTTGCTGCCGATCCCCGGGCAGGAGGACGACTACGACCTTGAGAATGCCAGAATCTGGGTCGGCTTCAATCTTGGCGACGCCGTGACGAAGTCGCCAGACGCGGGGCCCTGACTTTGGCCCAGATGACTGCTGCTGCTGCCGCACGCGCACCGGTTTTAAAGGAGCGTATCATGAATGATGGGCGCCACCCACGACAGAATGGTCGGGGGGAGAGAGAAAAGTGCTCCTCAGCTGTTCTGCAGAGCAGGCGGGCCCAGGCGCTCGAGCTTCTCAGGAGAGTCCTGGTTGGGAGCGGGAGTGTGGCGCCTTTCTCCCTGCAGCGTCTGCCCGCACGGTGTGGTGTGCCACCTCGCTCGCGGCCCGAAGGTGGCGAGGCGACGGGCGCGCTGCGAGTTACTCCGGCGAGGGGATCTGCGGCGCAGTGCTGCAGATGATCAGCGCTGGAGGTCTTTTGGCGGTGTGTGCGTTCCGACGCTGTGGGTGCGCTGGTGGTCTTGTTCGAGTCAGTGGGCGTCCAGCTATATATTCAGATGTGGGCGCTGATGGTTCAGCTTTTGAGATTGTGCTGTCTTAGCTTGCAGGTTATGGTGACATTGTTTGTTCTGGTCAACTGGGTGTCCTATCAAAGCTATGGGTACAGTCGATTGCCTTGGGGGCTAGCGCATCGTAATTGTTATGTGATGCCCCGTGTGTATTATTATATGGAGTTGCCCACGGTTGTGCAACAGTTGCGCGGTTCTCTGTTGTGTATTTTGTTTGTCGTGCATTCTGCATTTCTGGCTACGTTTTGGGAGGTGGGACCGGTTCGGCTCCGCCCTAGTAGTTTGACATGTTGTTGATGCTTGTTGAGGCGCTTCGGGGCTCAGTCGTGTAGTAACATCTAGACTGACCCCGATTGTTTCTAGATTCGTTGGCTGCGTGTTGTACTACGCTGTGCAACACAGCCACATGTATATATTTAGATGTTTGAGTATACACATATGATATATATAACGGTGGTGTGCGTGTGTGTATGTGTGATGTAAGGTACATGTTCAAAGCTATGCAGTCTAACCTACGTGGTGCAAGCCAGGTGGCGCATCCTATGTGTTGCAAGCTATCCAGCTGCCTTCGGAAAGTCCCGCCACCGTGCCAGCCGAGCACCCTTGTTCGAGGAGAGCACCGGAGGCTGCAACTTGTGAAGAGGAGGAGCAGGAAGTGGACTGCCTTCACATGCGTAACACCTCTCACCTTCACTTCTCGAGGAGCTCTCATGGAGCTCATGTGAACCATCTTGGTTGTGTCTTATGGGTTTCTGTGAGGCAGCCTTTGGGGTCCCTTGTGTCGCTTTGGGCTGTCTTGGCGCCCTCTTGAACTGTCCTGGGGCTTTTGGGCCGCCTTGGGGCCCTCTTGGCCGTCCAGGGAGACTCTGACGGCTCCCTTGGAGCGCGAGCCCACAGTTTTTGCAGCCGTGGGCCACTTGGCAGCCGCTTTGGAAGCTTGTGACGCGAGCCCACAGAGTCTTCAAGTCATCGTGGCCTCGGGGGCGCGGAGCCATAGTTTGTGCTACGAGGGATCATGGCCCTGGGAGGGGGGGGGGCGGTGCATGCAGCAGTCTGCGGCGAGAGGGGGCGCCTTCGAAGCGTACACGCCAGTCGTTGAAAGCAGGTGTTCTGGGACATCCAGATCCCAATCTACCTCAAGCGCCTTCCTGCTTCAAGAGCCGATATGTTTTTGCTGTGCTTTGGTATTCGCTGGGCGGGCCGTAGCACGATCTACTGCATCCGCCTTCCTACCTTGTGTTTCCACGTACTTCTTCCTACTGGTGGGTACAGAACCTACCAGGCAGCGGTTGGTTCTGCCATGCCTGAACGTGCCATTGGGGCTCGGTGGTGAATGTGATGCAATCTGTGTGAAGCAAGCTGTTCATGTGAGGCAATCCATGCGGTGCAAGCTATGTGGTGAAAGCGATCTGATGCAAACTGCAGCGGATTCCACGTGGGAGCCCACACGCCGGAACCTCGGCGCACCCAGTCAGCGCACGGCGCGCCCACAACGCGCCACGGGCGTTCACCAGGCGAAACCTGACCCAGCCAGCGCACGGCGCGCCCTCCAGGCGCCCACTGGCGCGCATCAGGCGAAACATCGGCGGACTCAGCCAGCGCACGGAGCGCCAACCTGACGCCTAATTTATGAGGCGCCCACGGGCGCACACCAGGCGAAACCTTGACGGACCCACCCAATTCCTTGTCAACCCAATCATTTGTTCGATATTTATGTTGGGAAATACTATCAGTGCGAGCACTCTTTGAGGAAACAGGTGAGCAAGATCCACAAGCGTGTGGTATTATTTTCTTTATCGGTTTGCTCTCTGGGCTTCTGTCCCCTCATGCTTCTTTTGGATCCTTTCGCATGCTGTGTCTTCTGTTTCGTCCCGGGCCTCATCTGGCCGATCATCTTCATTGCAACCCCGTCAGAGCCAATCAACGTGACTTATTCATCGCAGCTTTGTTTGCAGTGTTGTCAAAGCAAGAACCCTCGCCTCAACGGGAGCGGCGTCGTTTTCACCTGCCCCGCTGGTTTCTGCCATTTTCCGACACCAGCGCGGCGCATGCGTTTTCTCTTGTGAGCATGTTCCAATGGCGCGACCGATAAGAGCGAGGGGGCCAAAGGGTCTTACTACATTGTCCCTGGGTGCGTGGCTCAAGTGTGGTTCCGCGGAGTGCATTCCTTCTTGTCAATGCCAGCCGCTCCGCGACACACCCGCGACCCGGCATGCGATCTACCCTCGAGCTGCCCGCGACCCACCCGCGACCCATCCGCGATCCACCTACGACACATTCACCCTGTTTTGACAACAATCGGGGCCTTCGGCGGTCTCGTCGCATAAGGTGTTTGAACATCTGCGCCTGGTCCAGGATTTTTTCATGTGCTTTCGTGCAAACTGCCGACGACTTCCCCCCGCCCCCTCACTCTTATCCGAAACTTTGGAGGCTGTGAAAATGGAGCAGACGATTTGTCGGATTGCGGGGTGCTTAGCGCAGATTGGAGTGCACCCAATCAGCAGCGGACGATTTGTTGGTTTGCGTGGTGCATAGCGCAACATATGGCGCAGCCTATCTGTCTACCCTAGTGCAGTGAAGCACCCAAGAAGCAACGGACGGTCTGGTGGACTGCGGGGTGTCCGGTGTCAGGTGTGCAACCTACGGCACAACTTATTGCGAACTATGGCACACTCAACGGGCAACGGGCGATTGTGAAGGTTTTGCGGCCGGTGCCGTCGGCCCTGTATGCCAGGACCTCCGCCGGGACCCCCGTTGGCGACTCCCCGCCTCCGGACCTCCAGGACCCTGGGGAGGGCAGAAGAAGGGATCAAAGGGAAGCGGCAACCTACGGCGCAACTTACTGCGAAATATGGCGCACCCAACGAGCAACGGGCGATTTGGTGGACTGCGGGGTGCCAGGCGCAACCCATAGCGCAAATTCTGGAGCAACTTCTGGGACGTATTGCGCACAAGGGAAGGCGTGATTTGGTTGAGCGCTGGGGTTTCTGCCGCGACCTATGGCGCAGCCGTCGGAAGGCAGGGTTCACTCGGAAGTGTATCGTTTGTTGCTTGCTTGTTGTGCCGTAGCCGACAGCGCACCTCGTGGCAAGTGCTGCTCAGGGCCTCGTGGCGGGGCTTGGAATCACTGGTGCGCTGCTGTTTATTACTCTATTCGTTCTGTCCCTTCGCTGGCTCAAGGGGGTCAGCCTTTCTGACCCCGCCTGCCTGCCAGCTGCCGCCCCGCCCAGCGGTGGCAGCATCTATGTGTTGAGGGTTCACGCGGATGCCAATCCCTCCTTGACCGTGCGGTGCGCAGCTCAGTTTGGGGCCGATCTCGATGAGACCCCGATGCGCGCCTCATCAGATCGTGGGCTTCCGAGTTGGCAGGGAGGCAGATGCGGAGGCGAAGTACAGGAAGGCACCCGCGCGCGGCCAAGGGTTAGGGCGAGGGTTCCATGGCAAGCATTGAGGAACCAGTAGTCAAGATGCAGCACCTCAGTCTTCCGGAAAGCAATGTTCGGACAGTCCTCAAGGGGTCAGATGAGGAGGAGCAGGAGGACACTGAATTAGGATGAGGTCGATCCGAACCTCGCATGGCTCCTAAAGGGTGTCCGCACAACGGGGCGCACACTTCCAACTTTCGCAGAGATGTTTGGTTGGGCACCCGTTGGCCCTGCTCCTCCTCCTCCTCCTCCTCCTCCTCCTCATTCGCCTTCTACTCCTCATCGTCCAGGTGCTTGCTCCGATCTGCTGAGACTTCATACCGGCTTTTCCCGCCCTCTCCACCTCATGCTTCCTTGTTAGGGGTGTCGAAAAATACCCTCCCCTGGAGTGGTCTGGTGGCTTCTCCCGGGCTTCTCTCGGGACCTTGCCGGGGTACTTTTCGTCCGGGGGCCCCCAGGGGCCGCTCCGCGCGCACGAACTAGAAATATTGTTAACAAGTTACCGGAGATCTTAGCACGCCTCTGGCCCGTTGGGCCGGCGAATTTTCATGCCCCACCCCCACCCCGTCACCTCGTGCTCTAGGATCTTGCCACTCCGCCCGATCCCGCCGCCGACCGGCTCTCCGCTGTTGCTCCACCCCGCCTTTGGAGTTTTTTGCCCTCTCCGTCACTCTGACTTGCCCCTCTTGCTACACCTTAGGCGATGCTGAAGAAAACTTCAATTTTCGGCCAGAGTCTCGATTATTCTTAATGTTTCAATGCAAATCCTAAGATTTGAATAGAATCTTTGGGTTTTCATTCAAGTTCTGAGACCATGAACTTCTTAACCCATGATTTCTTAAGCATTTCGCAGGGTGTACGCATCCGGTTGACTGCTCTTTCCAATCCGTGGGCTTCAGAGATCTTCGACCTCTTCTCTGGGGATAGCTTGGCGTTCCGCATCCACTTGTGATGATACTGGCCCCCCGCAAACTGCCCCCAGAGGCTGAAGTTGAGGAATCAGGCCGAATTTGAGCTATTCGATCCGCTCGTAGTCCGGGGTTCTTCCTTTGTGCCCAGGTATCGAACATGAGATTCTCCGAGCGCGCCTCGCTAACCAACCCTACGAAGCAGACGCTCCCCCGCCCCGTCGACGTCATCGTGACGGTGCTGCCGCCAGGGCCAGGGGATGAGGATGGAGGAGGCGGAGGAGGAGGAGGAGGGCGAATGGGAGGAGTTCGAAGTTTTGATGATCAAGGTTTGGAATGCTTTTGCTTGCTTACTGGAGCCTACCCGAGGCCTCCAGTGGCGAGGGCTGAATTCCTGCCGAACTTCTGGTCGAACCGCACCCCTGAACCCTTGGATAGGTCGGGGGGACGATTTCTGTGCGGAGAGGAGGAGGATGAGGTGGAGGAGGAGGAGGAGGAGGCGGAGGAGGAGGAAGAGGAGGAGGAGGAGGAGGAGGAGGAGGAGGAGGAAAAGGAAAAGGAGGAGGAGGAGGCGAACCCGGAAGCGACGGGCCCGGCTGAGCGCCTGCTCGGCGCGAGATGTGCGGGCGGCAGGGCCCGCTCCTCGTGGAGGGGGCCTTTCGTGGAGGGGGTCTCGATCGAGGGGGCCGCCACTGCCAGGCAGGGGGGGGGGGGAGCAGGTCGTCGTTCTCGTATTCTCGGGTGGTCGCAAGCGTGGATCTCAATGGGGGCGCGGCTTAGAGACGGGTCCCGTTTCCACGGGACATCGCGGCTTTCCGCCGCCGAGCGAGGCGGCGCCAGCCGCATGTTGGGGAGGGCACCTCCCCGATCCATGGATTTCGCGATTGCGCGCCAAATCCGTGGATCGCTAATCCATGCCTGCGCGCCCACGATATTCATTCTTTTGCCGATCGGCGCGGGCCCTCGAACCCATCCCCCCCCTCTCCCCCCCCTCCATGGAGTAGGTCTTGGCTGTCTTTGGCGCCTGTTTCGAGCAGGTGGGGTTTCCCCCACAGGACGCAAGGTTCCAGACAGTCGCACTAAGCAGAGGTCTGGAGCCAGACCCCTCCCCCCCCTTTAGCCCACTATCGAAACGCCGAATAAGAAAGCGCTCCCCAGCCAGGGCCGTCTACTTCGGTGGCAAGTCATGGGAGCCTGGTGTGCCCGTTTAATTCCGCCTTTAGCGTCGATCAGCGTCGATTGGCGCCTGGAGTCGACGAGATAGCGCCGATCTAGCGTCGGCTAGCGTCGAGCAGCGCCGACGTAGTGTCGATCGGCGTCGATTCGCAAGAGCCGACACGATGGTATGGGAGGCTTCCACGACTTGCCACCATCCGGTTCGATATGCGATTCGAGTCGCGGGCTGGGCCCCCCCACTCCCATTCGACTCGCTTCGCACCGACTCACCGGCAGATCGGCTGGGGCCAGCCAGAGCTGGGCCCTTGCCTGCAGCGAGCTGTGCCGAGCTGGGCCCCTGCCTGCTGCTGATGACGACGATGATGATGATGCTGCTGATGACGATTATGATGACAATGATGATGGTGCTGACGCTGCTGTTGTTGTTGATGATGATGATGATGATGATGATGATGATGATGATGATCATGATGACGATGATGATGATGATGATGATGATGATGATGACGATGCTTATGATGATGATGCTGATGATGATGATGATGATGCTGATGATGATGATGCTGATGCTGGTGATGACAATGATGCTGCTGCTGATAACGACGATGATGATGCTGCTGATGACGATGCTGATGACAATGATGATGTTGCTGACGCTGCTGTTGTTGTTGATGATGATGATCATCATGATGACGATGATGATGACGATGCTTATGATGATGATGACGATGATGATGGTTATGATGATGGTGATGATGATGCTGATGATGATGATGCTGATGACGATGCTGATGATGATGATGATGATGCCGATGATGATGATGGTGATGATGATGCTGCTGATGATGATGAGGATGCTGATGATGATGATGATGATGATGATGATGATGATGATGATGATGATGATGATGATGATGATGATGATGATGATGATGATGATGATGATGATGATGATGATGATGATGATGATGATGATGATGATGATGATGATGATGATGATGATGATGATGATGATGGTGGTGATGATGATGATGATGATGATGATGATGATGATGAAAACGCCATAAGTATAAACGTTTGGCGCCCTTGCGCAGATTTCTTGGATCTGCGCTGGGCAGCCCTGGCGGCGCTCTGGCGTCGCCCCTGGCGCGCTCCCCGCGCCAGGGAGGGGTGTCCAGCGCGGATCCAAGAAATCCGCGCGGAGCGCCAACAGTTCATGTTTGTGCCGTTCTTTCTCCTTCCAGTGCGACCGATGCCCATCCCCACCGAGCTATGGCAGCTCAGCCCCACCATCCCGCCCCCCCAGTTGGGGAGATATGTGCCGCGCAGGAGCCGGAGGGAGCAGCACAGATGACCCAGGGCCCCAGCCCCCCTCCCCCTCCCCCTCTCCCCCTCCCCTCCAGCGCTTGTGGGATCGGGCCCCCGGCCCCCACTGGATGGGTACCCCCCCCCTCCCTTTGTGGTCGCCGTGGCCCTGTGGTCGCCGTCATCGTCGTCGTCGTCGTCGTTTTCGTTGTCGTCGTCGTCGTCGTCGTCGTCGTCGTCGTTGTCGTCGTCGTTGTCTTCGTCTTCGTCTTCGTCGTTGTCTTCGTCTTCGTCTTCGTCGTCGTCGTCGTCTTCGTGTTCGTCGTCGTCGTCGTCTTCCGTCGTCGTCTTCCGTCGTTGTCGTCGTCGTCGTCGTGGTCGTCGTCGTCGTCGTCGTCGTTTGGGGGGTAACTCGTTCAGTGGGCCCAAGGCCAAGCCAGTCGGGACTCGGCCAGGAACGTTCGGACAGCGTGGCGCGCCGCTGGTTCTGGCACCCCGCGCTTCGGGTCGACACGCTATTCATTTTCCTGATCCTCCAGCGAGAATGTCCCGAGCCTCTTCCAGCCTCCCGCCCCGCGGAGCGAAGCGACACGCTGTCCGCTCGCAGGGCGTGGCCAGTCGCCGGGGCCGCCGCGGCGATTCGCTAAGCAAACGTTCCCGACCGTAGGGATCGGTTATACGTTTACGATGCTCGTTAGTGGGCGCCTGCGGCGTCCCACCCTGGTCAGGATCTGCCTCCTCGGCGGCCTCACTGGAGGGGCCGCCCACTGCGCTGTGCATTCGGTGGGCGCCGCGGCCTCCACATCGACAGGCATTGCGACTCCGTTTGCGACGAGCTGCGCCTTCCCTGAGTTCCGACGAGGCGAAACAACTGCAACCTTCAGAGAACTCACAACCGGAGCCCTAGATCCTCAAAATTTGTTGGCATACCGCACCCTCCCCGGCCCAGTCAGAGTTCACCGCCGGGTGCCACGTGCAGTATACAATAATGACGTCCCAGGGGGGGGAATCTTGTAATCAACCCACGATCAGGACCCTCGCCCACCACCTAGGGCTTCTCGGTCTAGTATACAGTTGGGGCAGACTAGATTCCATCATTCTGACATTTTTTGAGCCGGCTCGATTTGTGACGGTCACGCAGGGCTTGAGCCCGGGCGAAGGCGCCCGGTGTGAAGTAATTGCCACGCCTTGACCTCAGGGATCTAGGCCCTGGGCTGCGCTCGAGCGGGGCCGTGAGACGAGCAATCTCTCCGCTGGGGCCCAGGGCAGCGTGGCAGCGGGCTCGGTGCCGGACGGCGCCACGGGCACGGCCTCCGTGCGGCCTTGCGCCCG